GGGGAGGGTGGTGGGGAGAGAAGGATTGAGAATTTGAGATTAGCAGACAGACTATTATATACAGGATTGATAAACAACAAAGTTTGTTGTATGATGCAGAGACCTATGTTCAGTATCCTGTGATAAACCGTAATGGAAGAGAATATGAAAAAGAATATATATATATATATATATATATAACTGAATCACTTTGCTATACAGCAGAAATTAACACTGTAAATCAACTGTACTTCAATAAAATTAACAATAAGTAATCCTTTAGGTGATTATCATGCATGCTGAAGTGTGAGAACCATTACTGTAGTATACTCTAGGGTTTCCATTTCGGAGCAAACTACCAAAAATTTTTTTTTTTTTTTTTTGCGGTACACAGGCCTCTCACTGCTGTGGCCTCTCCCACTGCGGAGCACAGGCTCCGGACGCGCAGGCCCAGCAGCCATGGCTCACGGGCCCAGCCACTCCGCGGCACGTGGGATCCTCCCGGACCAGGGCACAAACCCGTGTACCCTGCATTGGCAGGCGGACTCTCAACCACTGCGCCACCAGGGAAGCCCGAAACTACCAAAAATTTTTGACAATACCTGGTATTAACATTGAGAATCTCAATCTTGAGTCTCTGCTGCTGGGTCTTGCAGTCTAACTTTTTGGAAATAGTCATGGCTCCTAAGCTAACGAGCATTTTAAAAGGGCTTTTCCTCAGCCTCTCTGAAGTAATTATACTTTGTAAGCACACTTAAGCTTTGCTTTATGACTTTAGTTCATTCCTGAAAACCTACCTCTAAGGGAAGAGTTTTTAGCTCAGAAGGTATTTACATCCATTCTAATGGAAAAAAAAATTATGTGTTCCATTGTTATCTAAGATACCAAAATAGTTTCAGATTTAAAAATATATCAGTTGAACAATGATAACAAGTTTGTATAAATAAATACTTTGAAAGTAAATAAAAACAGTTTGCACTTAAAATGTTATGTGATGATGATTTATTGTACTTGCAAAATGAGGAAGAGAAGACTTGATAGTGAGGTGGCTGGTGGTGGAATACAAAGGAGTTATTCTTTGGAAGGAGCTGGAGAGTCAGGTGGTAGATTTTAAAGCTGGTAATCTTTGGGAGTTTGTGGTTATCTTGCACTTAAAAACAGCTGTAGCACACCTGGGCCAGCCACTGGGATACAGATGAAACATAGCCTCTGTTCTCAAGGGGCCTGGAAAAGGAGTGAGATGCCCCAACAGCTCACTCTGTAAAAAGAAACTAACTGCTTGTTGGAACTAAGTGCTATATAGAAAGAAAGCAAAGGAGGGAGTGGCTGGGGAGTCTTCTAGACCCCTTAGTCCTCAAATTAAACCTTAGAAAAAGAGTGGGGTCCTGACTGGTGGAAATGGGGACAGGGTAGGCCATGCTGAGAGAATGGAAGGAGAAAGGTTCAGGGCATATGGTCAGGGGATTGGGAGTCCCTTTGGAGCACTTGGAAAAGAAAGGAGAAGGAGGGTATGTGTGTGACGGAGACAGCAGTAGGAAAGGGGGCACTGAGCTTATTTCAGCTGCATTCTGTGGGCAACAGGGAGCTATGGAAAGTGTTTGAAGAGAACAGAGTATGTTTTAGGAAGAGTAAAATCAACTGAAAAAAAGTTATAGCACAGGAAAATTACATTAGGGCAAAATAAAGGTGAAACAGGAGCACCTTTGAAACATAGAAGTCGTGCATGCACTCAACAGATGGAGCAATCGTAAAGAATGCTACCTTGTCTTGCTTGGTGTTCATATGCAAAGCAAAACTTTCTGATTCATCCAGATGTGGTACATGGTTTATTTGTTCTTTGTTCTTTATAATATTCTCTGAATAGAAATGATCATATGGAGTACAGCGATGAGTGTGTCTGTTAACTATTCCTTTGTTATATTTTTATGTCTGATTTTTTTTAAGTTGTAATACAAAAAAGGGAGGGGTCATTGTCCAAGAACTGGCATTACTTTTCAAGGGACATTACAGCAAAAAGCTACCTAACTGTTGTCATGTGAGGCAAGTCTGTGATGAGAAATGACATCAACTATGATGAGTTTAAAACAACTATGATTGAAAACTGTACTTAAAACAGTCTCGGTTGCTGATGTCCTGCAAGCCTTTAGATGAGGCAGTTTTTAACTATAAATTTTATAGGCCTCCCCAATTTCTTTTATGTAGCCTTCTTATGTCCCAGAGTTTAACAGTCCATGTGGCTAATAGCCTTGGCTATGCCAGTTTGTATTCATATTTTGCTTTTTTTCTTTCTTGAGTCTGAAGGTGGAGGAAGAAAGGAGCCATATTACCCACAGATTTTTTTGTTTTTTGGATTTTATTGTTGCTCTTGTTTTTGGTTTAGAAAGAAAAGAGCTAAAGATTTCTGTGTTTTAGGGGCTTCCCTGGTGGCGCAGTGGTTGAGAGTCCTCCTGCTGATGCAGGGGACACGGGTTCGTGCCCCAGTCCGGGAAGATCCCACATGCCGTGGAGCAGCTGGGCCCGTGAGCCATGGCCGCTGAGCCTGCGCATCCGGAGCCTGTGTTCCGCAATGGGAGAGGCCACAACAGTGAGAGGCCCGCGTACTGCTAAAAAAAAAAAAGATTTCTGTGTTTTATTAGATATGTAGAACTCCAAATTCACATATATAGTATTTTATAATATCATATTTATTATGTATTTCTTAACTAGGAATGTAGATAATTTCCCTCTTGGGTAAAATTGTATGGGAGCAAAGGTTATTTAACTCCACCACCCAGGAATATACCACATAGGAAATAGTATGTAGAAGGTACTTTTTTTTGTCTTGGATGTGAAAGATCTGAAATTGGAGAAAATTTCCCATTTTTTATATTTTTAATAATAGGCACATTATACTTTCCTCCACCACAAAACTGCATTCATGAAAAAAATGCTTTAACAATGATATTAAAACATTAAGTGGAAGTCCCTTCCAGTTATCAGGTATGTTAAAGGATAGAGTGCCTTTTTGTTTTTTGGTTTTTTTTGGCTGCCCCGGGCCTTAGTTGTGCCCTGCGAGATCTAGTTCCCTGACCAGGGATCGAACCCAGGCCCCCTGCATTGGAAGCGCAGAGTCTTAACCACTGGACCACCAGGGAAGTCCCAGGGATGAAGTTTTTTTTTAGCTTGTTAGGTTAATTTCCTTCCCACCTCCATCTAGAGAGCATAGTACATTTAAAATGGACATTTCCGGGTTTCCCTGGTGGTGCAGTGGTTAAGAATCCGCCTGCCAATGCAGGGGACATGGGTTCGAGCCCTGGTTCAGGAAGATCCCACATGCTGTGGAGCAACTAAGTCCGTGCACCACAACTACTGAGCCTGCGCTCTAGAGCCCATGTGGCACAACTACTGAGCCTGCATGCCACAATTACTGAAGCCTGCATGCTTAGAGCCTGTGCTCTGTGACAAGAGAAGCCACTGCAATGAGAAGCCCGTGTACCACAACGAATAGCCCCTGCTCACCGCACCTAGAGAAAGCCCGTGCACAGCAACAAAGACCCAATGCAGCCAAAACTAAATAAATAAAATAAATAAATTTATAAAAAAATAAAATTGACATTTCCATAGCTGTTTGACTCAGATGTACTGAGAAGATGCCCATGGCCTAGGATTCCTGCCAAGATCATAATGCTTGACCCACAGATAGCTTCTTTTTAAAAAAGTTAAAGTCTGATGATAGGTTAATAGAAACTTTGTAAAACCTTGTATTGGTCATAGTTGTTGCTGTTATTTTTATAAATTGTAACGGGTATAGAAATGGTCAGCAGTGGAATGGTTATATCTGCTTGCTGAAATTGTAACGGGTATAGAAATGGTCAGCAGTGGAATGGTTATATCTGCTTGCTGCACATATAAGGTTTGAGCTTCAGAGTCCCAGATCTGCAGTTTATGGAGAAGAAAGCTGGACATTGAATTTTGAGAGAATTATCAATGGTTCTTAAATTTGGCAATGACAGAAAGAACTGTTTTTCAAAAAATTCAAGATAGAGTAAACTTTGGGTCCAAATAAAGAGTTGTTTCTGAGATAGTGGTAGCAAAATTTGGAACCAGGACTACCGCATATATTTGTGTAATCTGTGCCCTACACCAAGAGAACAAAGGGAAGCTTAAGATCCTGCCCACACTCTGAGCTTCCCAAGTCATGTGTCCTGGCACAGGGCTGCCCAGAGGAAGAAGGCTGTTTTGTAATTTGTCCACCCAGTAGGAACATTTTTTGCAGTTAGCCTGGAGAGGGGCACCTTTTTGCAGTTGACTCAAAGGCATCATATATGCTAGCTGAGCCCTCTTTGGAACCCAACACTTGGAATAATTTTTATCAGTGTTGTCAGCAAAAGATCTCTGGGGTCATTTGATGATGAAATGTTATTACCCGTTAGCTAAAGAGAGTTCTAAGGTTTATAAAACATGGGACTACTGCAGTAGTACTACTCAGAAGAAATAGCACAGCTGAAACTGGCAGAAATGCAGACTTCTTTAAGTCTTTTTATGAGAGCCTATACTTGTAGCCAATTGTGAACCAATTCTCAAGGCATTAATCTTTATTTCCAGGAAGGAAACAGCTATGATTCAGATGATTACCTTCTATCCTGATAGTATGTGTAGTCTGATGTTAAAAATTCATTGAGAACAAAGCCATATAAGACATTTGAAACTAGTCAGTTTAAAAGAGAATAAGTGATTTTATAGGAAGAATATTGGGCTGGAAATTAGGAAACCTATACTCTATCTGTTGCTACCCCAGTAATTCACCCTGGCCCCATACAAGTAGCTTAACCTTTCTGGCCCTCAATTTCCATATCTGTAAAGTAAAAGAAGTACACCAAATATAAGGTCTCTTTCAGTTCTAACATTCTGTGACTTTAAAAAAGTAAAAACCTTTTCTAGCCAGATCTTGAACTGCAGTTAAATACATTGATAGAGAAACATTCTGTTTTAAATCACTTAAGCCAAATAATGATTTTTTCATACTCATTCTTGTTTTTCAGAAACTCTGTGAAGGCATATTTAAAGTCCTTTTAAAGGACATCCCAACAACATGTCAAGTATCCTGCCTTGAAGTTCTCCGCATTCTCTCCAGAGACAAAAAGGTTTTAGTTCCTGTAACAACTAAGGAAAATATGCAGATACTGCTGCGACTAGCCAAGCTAAATGAGTCGGATGATTCTTTGGAGAAGGTGTCAGAGTTCCCAGTTATCGTGGAGTCATTAAAATGTCTTTGTAACATAGTGTTCAACAGTCAGATGGCACAGCAGCTCAGCCTGGAACTTAACCTTGCTGCAAAGCTCTGTAACCTCCTGAGAAAGTGCAAGGACCGAAAGTTTATCAATGACATTAAGTGCTTTGACTTGCGCTTGCTCTTCGTCCTGTCACTTTTGCACACCGACATCAGGTCACAATTGCGCTATGAGCTCCAAGGACTACCGCTGCTAACCCAGATCTTGGAAAGTGCCTTTAGCATCAAGTGGACCGATGAATATGAATCGGCCATAGACCGTAATGGACCTCCTCTCTCACCTCAGGAGACAGACTGTGCCATTGAGGCCCTCAAAGCTCTCTTCAATGTGACGGTAGACAGTTGGAAGGTGCATAAAGAGGTAAGGTTGAGAATATTCTTATCTACTTGGAATTTCATTGGTTTGGGGTGTCCTTAGAGCTGCCTGCCAGAGAGGAATGCTAAGTAGGGAAATGGAAAAAGTTTCCAGTTCCCTCAATCAGTTAAATGACTCAAGATACATTTCTTAACCATTATAACTCTTATTCTTCCCATTTGTGTAACACTTATCAGAAGAATAGGGTGAAGATTGACTACTGTTTTATAAGATGCCAAATACAGTTCCTTTTCTGAGTTGTACTATCATGTGTCTTTTTTTTTAAGTTCCTCTTTCAGGAACAAGGTTTAAATGATGGATTTAAAGGGAAACAAAACAATGTGATTCATAAAGGTATAGGCATTTTCATTGCCTGCAGTCTTAAAGAAACATAAAGATATTCAGGCAAGTTGAAATTGATCAATCAGAATTGATGTCTGCTCAGTAGAGTAAAAGACATTGTGTTTATCACCTATCATCCTAGTCTCCTAACCTGTTACTCTGTAGTGTTTAGATAACTACCAGAAGTGTAGGACAACTAGATAGCCATGCTTATAACACAGTCCTAGAAAACAAGTATAATTATACCAGAATATGGGAAAGTTTATTTTAAACCACTTGACTTATTGCTAGACTAAGATCCTTCTCTGTGGCTTGGACCTTTTAGCAACCCAAAGTGAGGCAGATTTGATAGTTTAAATTTGAGTACCCACAAGAACAATATGCTAAACAAGAAGCTTAGTTTAAGGAAGTCAATAATTTTAAGTAAACTGGACATAAACTTTTTCCCTTGCTTCTAGAATCTTAATATTTCACATTTACCCTCTCTCTTTAACCTTAAATAACTCATAAAATTTAGTCTCTGCCTTAAAAAAAAAAGAAAAGAAAAGTATTCTGGTGCCAGAGCAAATTATCTTTTCTGACAATTGACTTTAGGACTTAGGCTAACATTTTGCTGTGTCCATTTGAAGCAGTTCTTACCATGAATAAAGATCTGTTTTTGCCAGCAGCCTACTTTGAAAGGATTATCTCAGTGCAGTGCTATAGTAGGAGTATGCAGGCATCTGAGTTTTAAAGTGCAAATAGGTCTATATTTTGAAACCAAATATTTGAAGATCAGTCCTAACAGCTGTTTTAGATGACTGTAGTATGGTCAGTTTTTCCTGGGACTTGGCAGAAAAAGATGTGGAAAGCCCACATGCTCCATTTATGCTTTGAAACCAAATATTTGGAAATATTTAAAATGTTATGTCTCTATGCTTATTTGGTACCTTCTATGGTTATTTTTCTTACACTGTTTGTTTTGGTGTTTTTAAGTTCTCCATTTAGTTGCAAGAGCTCTTCTGAGACTGTTGGTTTGCCATTGTTGGAGCCCCTGTTATTTAAATTGTGCCCCAGATAGTAGCTTATGCTCTTCAGATTCCTGACAGAAAGGGTTTATAGTTCAGTGGCTACACATCAGCAAAGGTATGGAATGATATGTAATAAATATCAGTATATTGAGATTAGCCCTAATTAGTGTGCTTCAATTATAATTAATAGCAGGGCTGGAAGAAGCTTTAGAAAATGTTGAAGTGGCAAATACTTATTCTGTATTATAGAATGTTTATTTTCCAAAAGATACATGATAAAGGATCAGTAGTCGTGAAGCAGGCATCTCAACAGAACTCTCGTGAGTCATGGATCACTTTATTCAAGCATTATAAAATGTGCCTAGTTAATATGACTCTGGGCTATTATTGAAGTTATCAGAAATTGTAAACAGTATTGAAAACAGGACCTTGCCAACCCACTTAGGCAAGAGTGTGGGAAAGCTTATTTTAAACCACTTGAGTCTCCATAAGTCTCTAAATTCAAATTTTAGCAAGCATTTAGTAAATCAGTCAGTCAATAAATATTTATGAACAATTGCCAGGTATTATGCTAGGCGTTGTGTAATATATTGGCAAATAATACACATAGTCTCTGCAGACTTCAGTTTTATTGGTGATATAGGTAATAAGTAAACAAATATATAATTTAAATTGTGTTAAGTACTAGGAGAGAAACAGTACAATGATGGAGAATACTTAGTATAGTTAGAGAAGACCACTGAAAGTCTCTCCTGAGATCTGAAGACTGAGAATGATTTGGCCATTTGAATGGGAGTATGAAACATTTCACAGAAATTGAACAGCATGTGAAAAGACACAGAAATCAGAACATACAGTACTTTTTACTGAGGTATACATAACTTAGCATAAAAGAAATCTGTAGTAAGGATGTAGAGAAACTTGCCAGTAAAGGTCCATTTACCTGAATTTTAATATCTCCTTGATTGTCAGATTAAAGACATTTTTCTCTAGTTGAGCGAGCATCTAAAGAATTGTTAATACCTTAAAATACCAGCTGAAATAAAGGGATATGGAAAGCTTACTGTACAGAAGAATCCAACTTTAAAATATAGATTTAAAAATAATATTTTCCTTATTATGAAAATAATACATGCTAAATAACACTTCAGATCTAAGGGAAAAAAGCATACGAGCAATAAGAAAATACAAATTACCTATAAACCTACCATTCAAAGATAAGCCCTATTTGCATTTTGATGTATATCTTTCTAACCATTATTCATTGTGTAATATATAAACATGTGTGTGTGTGTGTATATATATATATATATATATATATATATATATATATTTTTTTTTTTACAAAAAATGCAGTCATTTTATCATCTTGCTTTTTTTTTCCACAATAAATGTTCTTGAAGAGTAGTGGATTACACAGTGTGTTCCTTGAAGCCATAATGTTCCTAGGAGTAACCTCTGGGGATGAGCGGACAGTGTTTCAAGTTCCCCACCCTTTCTTTAAAAAGAGCGCCTTTGGGGACTTCCCTGGCTGTCCAGTGGTTAAGACTCTACGCTCCCACTCCAGGGGGGTAGGGGTTTGATCACTGGTAGGAGAACTAAGATGGCACATGCCCCACAGGCTGCACAGTGTGGCCAAAAAAACCCAGCATCTTTGATTGTTGCTGCTGCTATTGTTTTTCTTTAAATTTAGGTCGTAACTAGATTTCATTTGGGGTATAAAAAGAGTTCTGCAACCAAAAAACTTTTTAACAACCACTTTCTTCTCGTAAAGATAATAAATCTTTATGAAAGAATACTCATATGTATAAAAATACTTGAGTATTCCTTCATAAGGATCTATCAACCTTTAACAAATCCCCTATGTGTAAAGATTTGTATTGTTTGCAGTTGTTTGCTGTCTTACATAGTAATACACGGTGAATTTTCTTGTTGTAAAATCTTTGTAGATAAATTCCTGAAATTCATGGGCCAAAGGGTTTTTCAAAACTTCAGGGTTTTTTGTGTATATCATATGTATTTAAATTTATATGTATTACCAAACTGACCTTCAGAAGAATAGTGCTAGTTTACACCTCTCAAACCCCCGGCATTTCACTTTTTAAAATCTTTACCTACTTTACAACTCAGTTGTCACAGAAAATGCAGATGTTTGGTTTGGGTTTTAACTGTTTCAGTAGGTATTTTTATGACTGTTCATTTACAGTTCACAAAAAAACAGAAAATTAGGGTTTTTTTGAGGTTTAGCAAATTAGTGTGATTTGTTCATTTTAGGTTCATGCCTCAATGTTAAATTCCTGCCTGGAAGCCAATGCTATCAAGCAGATTAATTCGGAGATTCCTTTCCATTCATTAGGAAATGTAGCTGGCCTTATTTCCACATGTGGTGTCAGTCTGTCTCCCTGCCTTCCTCCCTCTTTCTTTCCCTTTCCTGAAGGTAGTATGTTTAAAAAAGTCAAATTATTCCTTTTATAGGACCCAAAATCAGTTCTAGAAAAGTTAATGGGAATGGTCTTGTCTTCTTTTTGCTTCAGCACTTTGCTAAATCTCTCTGTTCATGGAGGAAAGCATGTTATTCTAGAGATCCCTTACTTAGCACACATTCCCTTCTGCAGCGCTTCCTAGGTATCAGTGCAATGTAATGAGAAAATACAAGGACCAACACACATGTTAGAGCCAGACAGCCAAGTGCAAACAGAGAAGTAGTACAAGTATCTGAGTAGTCAAAGGATGCTATCTGAGTGAGATAAGACAGTGAGTATCTATAGGAGTTATTTGGGAATGTCACATCGTAACAGAAGAGATTAGCCCCATAATGATTTTAGAGACTTTGAAGAAAGTGTGAAAAAAGGACTTGACATTATTTAATTAAAAATAAAGCTTCACGCTGTACCATGTTTTTTAACTGAATCATTTTTCAACATTTATTATTGAGTGCCCAATATGTGCAAAGTTCTGTATTAGGCACACAAGATGCAATATAAAGCATCTCTGCCCTCAGAGAACTAACAGTGTCATAGGAAAAACAGACATGTAAACAGATAGATATATAACTGTTTGTCACATTATTTACTATTCTTCTCTATATTTTCTATATATTTGAAAATAAAAAAAATCAACTCAGAAATGCACAGACGCTACAAATGCCATATATTCTTGATCTTTGGGGGTATGTCTGACCTCCCTGGCATAGTCTTTCTGCTAAGCAACATACCTAGCACAGAGTAGGTGTTCAATGAATATTTGTTTAGAGAGCAGATTCTAGCCTTTTTGGAGATACAGCACACTATTTTATAACATTTATATTTCCTTTTGTAAGTTAATTCAAAAAAGCCTTTATTACTTTATGCCTGGCACCATGTTAAATGTAAAAGGTGTGGTGGTGGAATACTTAATCTTTGCCTGTAAGGAACATATGCAATTTAGTAGGACAAATAACTGCAAAATGGCTAGGGTAAGACATAGGGTGAAATACTACCTGATGTATAGCTATATTTCCAAGTAAGAGTGCATGTGTACATTTGTGTGTGAGTGTGTATTTGTGTTTCACTTTGTGTAGAATTGAAATTGAATTTTCATAGGACAAGTTTCCTAAACCTTCTTGAAGTAATGAGAACTACCCTGGGATAACAAAACCAGTTTAGGACTCATTGG